GTCGCCTGCAGCCACTGGAGTGAAGCAGTATATGTGATTGTACCCTTTTATTAACATTTACTTATCTTTACGACAGGGACAATGTATTATATTGATTTCATGTCCAATAACAAAAACGCTACGTTGTTTGAAACAACGAGTCTGGATAAGTGCTCTGTTTGGAAAAACGTACAGTGTTAAGTGAATGGTTACTGGGTCACTTGAAACGTCAAGTATGTTTCAAGTAATGGCATCTCGGGAGATTGGGTCGATGTGTAGGTTGACGATTTTACACTTTACCGTTTGGTCAGTATAAAACATTGTTTTCTTGATCTTTTAAATTCGTTGTCAGTTCTGTTTGAATACAACAGCTTGTTGAAAGGTTGTTTATTTTCGTGTTGTTTGTGTAGGCGATGGGCCCACACAACTGAACATGTAGGTCAATAAAGGGTCTTGCTACTATCACTGCAACACAGATATGTATATCAGTGTAGGCGTGTGTATATCAACTCAAACACGTATATCAATAGGGTCGTGTTGTAGAGATATTGCACTTGTATTTAACAGGGCATCCGTGCTACGCATTGAGGGTATGTTGTCTTTTGGTCTCCATGTTTTTGTTGCACGAACAAACAGTTATTCAAATTATCACTGGCGCTGCGTTACACGATATTGTTTAGTATAACTGTTTGATCTAGTAAAATGGTCTCATCTCACACACGTGCAAATAGCCGGCATCTAGATACAGCTGCGTAACCTTTTGAACTCAAGCGTTTTCTGATGATTATAGCCTACGTAAATACTTTTGTATATCGTATGTGTTTACATGTGACGCAATGATAACGCATCAGGTTACAGTCAAATTCGACCCGTGAAGATCAGCAACCCATACTTGCAGTAACAGGCGACTATGCTTGTCGTAAAAGGCGCCTAACGGGATCGGGTGGTCAGGCTCGCTGACTTGGTTGATGCATGTCATCGATCCCAATTGTGTTGATCGACGTTCATGATGTCAATCACTAAATTGCCTGATCGATTATTTACAGACCGCCGTCATATAGCTGGAATACTGCTGAATGCAGCCTTAAACAACAAACAAATAAACAAACAAACGATATGTATACCGCCTGGGGTTTACATAAGGTCACCAACTCTATTGTTTGTCAACTAAAATGGATCGGGTGATCAGGTTTATGATGTGTCATCACTCCCGACGGCGTGGACTTCGTTAAACTTCTAGTTTGGTAAATACACGACTATTTACAGACTTAATATAGCTGGAATATTGCTTACTGGGGTTAAACAATATCCACTTCACTTATGTACACGTCTTGTATAAATACCCTGACGGCCACGTGAGTAAGCAACTGCCAGCTGATTATGCGGTGGGTGTGCACGCTAGAGTACAATGGGTCGTCAGTTTGGGTCAGGGGGGTATTACACATGAGGCGTGTAAGCCTATTAGAGACGCGGGGATAGTTCACGAGCTGGGTGTGCAGGGCTAAGTGTTTCATTCAGTGAATTGATTGTTGTGCTGGCATTATGTGTTTGTTGTATTGACGACATTGTGTTAAGTGGCGAGGGTTTGATCTCGAAAAGGTAAGGAATATAATTGTAACAAAATCTATATTTTTTAAATTTTCATTGGGTTATTTAACAAGGACATAGAATTTAGAGAGTTTAGAATTTATTCTGTTTGATCATCTGCGTTGGCAGAAGAGATCACAGATGATTTAGCATTTCGACGTTAAGATTGCAATGTACTTAATTAATATCACTGATGACAATGAGTACCTACCATTATGAGGAGCATGTTATACCTACACTGATATGTCCAGAACACATAACATGGTGACGCAGTATGTAGGTTCACGCGTGAAGCCGTCATGGGGACACGATGAATGAACGTGTACTCTTCTTCTTGCAGTAGACCCGTGAAGACCCAGGTTAGAATAGGTCTTCAGCAACCCATGCTAACAGGCGACTGTGCTTGTCGTAAGCGACGACTAACGGGATCGGGTGGTCAGGTTCGCTGACTTGGTTGATGCATGTCATCGTATCCCAGTTGCATGGATCGATGCTCATGATGTCAATCACTGGATTGTCTCTTCCAAATTCGATTATATTACAGATCTTTTTGCAGTATATCACGGAAGTGGTCATCCAGGATAGCTTCTGCTAAAAATGGGTATTCGTCTCAAAACTTTGGTCCAAGTGATGCGTTACACGTTTACCTCAACGAAACATTCGAGCATCTGGGGTTGTAACCATCTGATTCTGTCATAGCTAAGGGACGCAACTCTGTTGTGGTTTAACGGGTTTATCCTTTGGTGCAGTAAATCTACTTGTATTTATGATAGTTAAACATCTTTTGCTGTGTTGGGCGCAAATATACCTTTCCTTATTTCTGGTCCAAGTCGCCCTTAAGCTATACCACCACCTCCACCACCACCGTCACAACAACCACCGCCACAACAACCACCGCCACAACCACCGCCATTATCACGCCACCACCACCACGACAACCAGCTCCACAACCACAGCCATTATCACACCACCACAACAACAACCACCAGCGCCACCACCAAAGCCATCATCACACCACCACCACCACAACAATAACCACCGCCACAACCACAGCCACTATCACACCAGAACAACAACAACCACCACCGCAGCCACCAACGCCATCATCACACCATCATCACCACCACCACCACCATCATCACTACCACCACGCATCCACCGCCATCAACGGTACTACCACAACCACCGCTACCACCACCACAACCTCCACCGCATCACCGATATACCTCCACAACCTCCACCACGTTACTGCCACCACTACCACCACCACCACCATCACCATCACCACCGCCATCACCGTCACCATCACCGTCACCACAACCACAATCACCACCACCACCACAACCGACCAGTAGGTTTATCGATATTATAGCCATTGATACGATCGCGCAAAGTGTATTGTAAGGAATAATCACATACATGTATTTATTCCCACGAATCATTATATTATACCCGTCGTTTATCATTAGCGATTCACACAGCGACCCGGGTACACACAAAAAAACAATCTACCTGCCACCAAATACCACAGCACGCTTACAGTCCGCTCATGCAACCCAATATATAAAACCATAACGTTTTTTTTGAGGAATTGTATCTAAGTTTAGTATGCGCCGTATGTGAGGTGTCCTGCAAGGAGAGTACATGACTCGCATTCCGTTAACCCTTGGTGTGCTGGCAGTGGAACGTCCACGGAGCCCGTAGGTTGGTCTTGGATACCGTGACATGAGCAGGGGCCGTACACCACGACGTCGCGCGGATCTATTGACTTCACATAAATCCTGCATTGTTCCTGTGTAGTGGACTGAGACAGGGGCCTTCATGCAGTGTATTGTGTTTCTGGCATTGGGCCTCGAGGGAGATGCCTTGATTAGCACGGCGGTGACATGACCACAGGGTCAATATCATCGATAGGGTATAACACGCATACACGTATGTGTGTATGAATGTGTGTCAATCGTATCTCACCATATCGGTGTATGGCAGTGTCTATATAAACTGTTGGTAAGTACGTATGCAATGTTAAACATTTTTAAAGTAAAAATGAAATTTATACAATTATGCCTTGATTACTCATTTATGTAATTGTCAGGAAACATATCTCCACACAGTATTCCTTGCCGTGTTTCCACACCAAACCTTCAGCATTGATTCAACTTTGCTCGGTACTAAAATACTCGACGTTGTCGATGTAACAACATCGTGCATTTTCAAAATCGTACATGCACTGCCAATGTTAATACATGTTTTCTAAAAGTGTATTTTCATAAACCTACATACACTGCCGGTGTCGCTTAATGAAGACGTAGTTTCATTAACCTGAAAACACTGCCGATGTAAATACATGTTCTCTGAAGATGAAGTTTTATGAACGTACAAACACTGCCGATGTTAATACATGTTATGTGAAGACATAGTTTCACGAACCTGAAAACACTGCCGATGTTAATACATGTTCTCTGAAGATGAAGTTACATAAACCTATATACAGTGGCGATGTTAATACATGTTCTCTGAAGACGTAGTTTCATAAACCTATATACAGTGGCGATGTTAATACATGTTCTCTGAAGACGTAGTTTCATAAACCTATATACACTGCCGGTGTCGCTTAATGAAGACGTAGTTTCATTAACCTGAAAACACTGCCGATGTAAATACATGTTCTCTGAAGATGAAGTTTTATGAACGTACAAACACTGCCGATGTTAATACATGTTATGTGAAGACATAGTTTCACGAACCTGAAAACACTGCCGATGTTAATACATGTTCTCTGAAGATGAAGTTACATAAACCTATATACAGTGGCGATGTTAATACATGTTCTCTGAAGACGTAGTTTCATAAACCTATATACAGTGGCGATGTTAATACATGTTCTCTGAAGACGTAGTTTCATAAACCTATATACAGTGGCGATGTTAATACATGTTCTCTGAAGATGTAGTTTCATAAACCTATATACAGTGGCGATGTTAATACATGTTCTCTGAAGACATAGTTTCATAAACCTATATACACTGCCGATGTTAATACATGTTCTCTGAAGACATAGTTTCATAAACCTATATACAGTGGCGATGTTAATACATGTTCTCTGAAGACGTAGTTTCATAAACCTATATACAGTGGCGATGTTAATACATGTTCTCTGAAGACATAGTTTCATAAACCTATATACACTGGCGATGTTAATACATGTTCTCTGAAGATGTAGTTTCATAAACCTATATACAGTGGCGATGTTAATACATGTTCTCTGAAGACGTAGTTTCATAAACCTATATACAGTGGCGATGTTAATACATGTTCTCTGAAGATGTAGTTTCATAAACCTATATACACTGGCGATGTTAATACATGTTCTCTGAAGATGTAGTTTCATAAACCTATATACACTGGCGATGTTAATACATGTTCTCTGAAGACATAGTTTCATAAACCTATATACACTGTCGATGTTAATACATGTTCTCTGAAGACGTAGTTTCATAAACCTATATACAGTGGCGATGTTAATACATGTTCTCTGAAGACATAGTTTCATAAACCTATATACACTGTCGATGTTAATACATGTTCTCTGAAGACGTAGTTTCATAAACCTATATACACTGGCGATGTTAATACATGTTCTCTGAAGATGTAGTTTCATAAACCTATATACAGTGGCGATGTTAATACATGTTCTCTGAAGACGTAGTTTCATAAACCTATATACAGTGGCGATGTTAATACATGTTCTCTGAAGATGTAGTTTCATAAACCTATATACACTGGCGATGTTAATACATGTTCTCTGAAGATGTAGTTTCATAAACCTATATACACTGGCGATGTTAATACATGTTCTCTGAAGACATAGTTTCATAAACCTATATACACTGTCGATGTTAATACATGTTCTCTGAAGACGTAGTTTCATAAACCTATATACAGTGGCGATGTTAATACATGTTCTCTGAAGACATAGTTTCATAAACCTATATACACTGCCGATGTTAATACATGTTCTCTGAAGACGTAGTTTCATAAACCTATATACACTGGCGATGTTAATACATGTTCTCTGAAGATGTAGTTTCATAAACCTATATACAGTGGCGATGTTAATACATGTTCTCTGAAGACGTAGTTTCATAAACCTATATACAGTGGCGATGTTAATACATGTTCTCTGAAGACATAGTTTCATAAACCTATATACACTGGCGATGTTAATACATGTTCTCTGAAGACGTAGTTTCATAAACCTATATACAGTGGCGATGTAAAATGTAACAAGGTGTTACTGTAATTTCTTCCTGAGATCGGTAACAAACCGTTACTGACTTTTGACGGGAGAGCTGTTAAATGAATGACAGTTGTACCACAACAATTCACATTAACTGAAACTATATAATGGAGAAAAAGTAATAAAGCAATGAAATATATTGAAGTTTTATGTGATCCGCAGTTAAGTACTTAGATGTGGTCCACAAAGCTTATTATAGGTTCGCCCCTGAATCCGTAACCGAAGCAACCGTTACTTCGTGAGTGAGTTGAACAGTATGTCACGGACTATGTATGTCAGGGACTTCGAAGTCTCGGACTCTGCTGTCATGGACTATGTTGTCACGGACTATGTTGTCATGAACTATGTATGTCACGGATTATGTTGTCACGGACTATGTTCTCACCGACTATTATGTCACGGACTATGGATGTCACGGACTATGTATGTCACCGACTATTATGTCACGGACTCTGTTGTCACGGACTATGTGTCACCGACTATTATGTCACGGACTCTGTTGTCAAGGACTATGTTGTCACGGACTATGTTCTCACCGACTATTATGTCACGGACTATGGATGTCACGGACTATGTATGTCACCGACTATTATGTCACGGACTCTGTTGTCACGGACTTTGTGTCACCGACTATTATGTCACGGACTCTGTTGTCAAGGACTATGTTGTCACCGAGTCTGTTGTCACGGACTCTGTTGTCACGAACTATGGATGTCACGGACTATGTATGTCACCGACTATTATGTCACGGACTCTGTTGTCACGGACTATGTGTCACCGACTATTATGTCACGGACTCTGTTGTCAAGGACTATGTTGTCACCGAGTCTGTTGTCACGGACTCTGTTGTCATGTACTATGTATGTCACGGACTATGTTGTCACGGACTGTGTATGTCACGGACTGTGTATGTCACGGACTATGTTGTCATGGACTATGTATGTCACGGACTCTGTATGTCACGGACTATGTTGTCATGGACTCTGTATGTCACGAACTATGTATGTCACGGACTATGCTGTCATGGACTATGTATGTCACAGAGTCTGTTGTCACGGACTATGTTGTCACGGAGTCTGTTGTCACGGACTCTGTTGTCCTGGACTTTGTATGTCAGGGACTATGTTGTTATGGACTATCTATGTCACGGACTATGTTGTCATGGAGTATGGATGTCACGGCCTAAGTATGTCACGGACTATGTATGTCACGGACTATGTATGTCACGGACTTTGTATGTCACGGACTTTGTATGTCACGGACTATGTTGTCATGGACTCTGTATGTCACAGACTATGTTGTCATGGACTATGTATGTCACGGACTATGTTGTCATGTACTATGTATGTCACGGACTATGTATGTCACGGACTGTGTATGTCATGGACTATGTATGTCACGGACTATGTTGTCATGGACTATGTATGTCACGGACTATGTATGGCACGGACTATGTTGTCATGGACTATGTATGTCACGGACTATGTATGTCACGGACTATGTTGTCATGGACTATGTATGTCACAGACTATGTTGTCACGGACTATGTTGTCACGGAGTCTGTTGTCACGGACTCTGTTGTCATGTACTATGTATGTCACGGACTGTGTATGTCACGGACTATGTATGTCACGGACTATGTATGTCACGGACTATGTTGTCATGGACTCTGTATGTCACGGACTATGTATGTCACGGACTATGTTGTCATGTACTATGTATGTCACGGACTATATATGTCACGGACTATGTATGTCATGGACTATGTATGTCACGGACTATGTTGTCATGGACTATGTATGTCACGGACTATGTATGTCACGGACTATGTATGTAACGGACTATGTATGTCATGGACTATGTATGTCACGGACTATGTTGTCATGGACTCTGTATGTCACGGACTATGTATGTCACGGACTATGTTGTCATGTACTATGTATGTCACGGACTATGTATGTCACGGACTATGTATGTCACGGACTATGTATGTCACAGACTATGTTGCCATGGACTATGTATGTCACGGACTATGTATGTCAGGGACTATGTATGTCACAGACTATGTATGTCACAGACTATGTTGTCACAGACTATGTATGTCACAGACTATGTTGTCACAGACTATGTATATCACAGACTATGTATGTCACAGACTATGTATGTCACAGACTATGTATGTCACAGACTATGTATGTCACAGACTATGTATGTCACAGACTATGTTGTCACAGACTATGTATGTCACGGACTATGTATGTCACAGACTATGTTGTCACAGACTATGTATGTCACGGACTATGTTGTCATGTACTATGTATGTCACGGACTATGTATGTCAAGGACTATGTATGTCATGGACTATGTATGTCACGGACTATGTATGTCACAGACTATGTTGCCATGGACTATTTATGTCACGGACTATGTATGTCACGGACTATGTATGTCATGGACTATGTATGTCACAGACTATGTATGTCACAGACTATGTTGTCACAGACTATGTATGTCACAGACTATGTTGTCACAGACTATGTATATCACAGACTATGTATGTCACAGACTATGTATGTCACAGACTATGTATGTCACAGACTATGTATGTCACAGACTATGTTGTCACAGACTATGTATGTCACGGACTTTGTATGTCACAGACTATGTTGTCACGGACTATGTATGTCACGGACTATGTATGTCACGGACTATGTATGTCATGGACTATGTATGTCATGGACTATGTATGTCACGGACTATGTATGTCACGGACTATGTTGTCACAGACTATGTTTTCACAGACTATGCTGTCACGGACTATGTTTTCACAGACTATGTTGTCACAGTCAATGCTGTCACGGACTACGCTGTTATGGACTATGTTGTCACGGACTATGTTGTCATAGACTTTGTATGTCACGGACTATGGTGTCACGGACTATGTATGTCACGGCCTATGGTGTCACGGCCTAAGTATGTCACGGACTGTGCATGTCATGAAATATGTATGTCACAGACTATGTTGTCATGGACTATGGATGTTACGGACTATGTTGTCATGGACTCTGTATTTCACAGACTATGTTGTCACGGACTCTGCTATCATGGACTATGTATGTCAGGGACTCTGCTGTCATGGACTATGTTGTCACAGACTATGTTGTCACGGACTATGTTGTCACGGAGTCTCTTGTCACGGACTCTGCTGTCATGGACTATGTATGTCAGGGACTATGTTGTCATGGATTATGTATGTCAGGGACTATGTTGTCATGGATTATGGATGTCACGGACTCTGTTGTCACGGACTATGTATGTCACGGACTATGTTGTCACGGACTCTGCTGTCATGGACTATGTATGTCAGGGACTATGTTGTCATGGACTATGTTGTCACCGACTATTATGTCACAGACCATGTTGTCACGGACTCTGTTGTCAGGGACTCTATTGTCATGGACTCTGTAAGTCACGGACTATGTTGTCACGGACTATGTATGACACGGACTATGTATGTCACGGACTATGTATTTCACGGACTATTTATGTCACGGACTTGGTATGTCACTAAATATGCTGTCACTGACTCTGTTATCAAGGACAATGTTGTCAGGGACCATATTTGTATGTCACGGCCTACGTTTGTCACGGACTAAGTATGTCACGGACAATGTATGTCACGGACTAAGTATGGCAACACAGGCCTTGACGCTTCCACATTGAACACGTGCATGGTGCTCACACAATGATGAACAGCTTCCTGTGTTGCTATTGTGATCACAGATGACAGCAGTGTCGTGATATATTCATGCTGCTTGTCGTGTGTAACTCGCATACCATGTACGTTCATGTTTGCAGTGTAAGTGGTCACAATATAAGACATGGTCATTACCATGGCGACCGGAAACAGATATCTATCCGAATACTTTGACGTTGCATGATCCTTTACATCGCCGGATTTAATGAAATGTAAAACATATGTCATATTTATTTATCTTTTTTTTCTGCTTTCTCACGTATGATTAAATTGTCCGTTTCATTAAAACCGGTAACACGAACTGTCAAATACCTGAAGGGGAAACTTACGGTGGCCCATAAGGGACATGGAGTCTGTTTTTCCATATTTTGATATTTCACTAACATTTATCGTAACCTTTTGCAAATTAACACGATTTGTCTTACAAATATGTGATAAATCATGTTTAAAGAAGATATTGAATCTCTGAAAAACGAAACGAAAATGTCAAAAACTAAAATGAAAATGTCAAAAACACAAAACGAAAATGTCAAAAACTAACATGAAAATACAGAAAACTATAAAAAAAATAGTTTGCACCGCGGTGGGAATAGTTTTCACCGCGGTGTAAATATTATTACCGCGGTGTAAATATTATCACCGTGGTGGGAATATTATCACCGCGGTGGAAATATTCCCACCTCGGTGAAAATATTTACACCGAGGTGATAATATTTACACCGCGGTGGAAATAGTGTTCTGTGTATTCATTTTAGTTTTTAACATTTTCGTTTTGTGTTTTTGACATTTTCATTTTAGTTTTTGACCTTTTCGTTTTGGTTTTTGACATTTCCATTTTAGTTTTTGACATTTTCACTTCACATTTCAGCGACTCAAAAGCTACTTAAAAGTACATTTTCTATGTTTTCGGATGTTTTTATACATGATTTATCACATATTTGTATGGCAGATTGTGTTAATTTGCAAAATGTTAAGATAAAAGTAAGTTAAACATCAAAATATTGAAAAACAGACTCCATGTCCCTTATGGGCCACCGTAGAAACTAGATATCTTTTGAACATTTCCCCGAAGATCTGGTGGTTTATACTTGTTTGTACAGTTTCTTGAAATCGTCATGTCCATGTTTTGTTTCGATGCGTCTGAAAATAATTTGAGGTTTTGATGTACACGAATGAACAGTGTTTCCGCCTTCATTCCAGCCATATCACGGCGGTGGTCACTCTCTTCACACAATGTTCCATGTTGGGAATCGAACCAGGGACTTCTACCTGACGAATCAACTTCTTAACTGCTAGGCTACCCCGCTTCCCCTCATATTCTTTTTACTGGTTACAGAAGCGAAACAACTATGTGACGAGTAAGAGTGTTATGAAAACAAAATAAACCTCCAAAGCATTTTTATTTTGCATGTTTGTTTTGTATAAACTGGCAAACGTGTGTAACGTGATCTACATTAAAATGAATGTTTTAACAGTTTCAGATGTGTCGACTATACATCACCATGGATACAGTGAACACTTCAACTGATGAGAACACATCACCATGGAAACAGTGAACACTTCAACTCATCAGAACACATCACCACAGACACAGTCAACACTTCAACTGATCAGATCACATCACCATGGATACAGTGAATACTTCAACTGATTAGACCACATCGCCATAGACACAGTGAACACTTAAACTGATCAGACCATATCACCATGGATACAGTGAACGCTCCAACCGATCAGGACACGAGGCCTCTTTCAGTTGAGAGCAATGAGTCTGAGGTTGACATTGAGTTCGGAGTCGACGTCAGGGATGAGAAACCGCCGTCGACAGCGGATGAACAGGACGACGTCACAAACGACGACCTGCTTGAAGAGGAAGCTTTCATGACCTTGACCCAGGAGGAACAATCTGCATGGGAAGACATGATCCAGAAACTGAAACATGAACTCGAACAACATGGCCAGGACTTTTCGCAATGGTCTGACAAAATAACACGAAGAAGAATGTATGCTTACGCCAGAATGAAAAAGCTGGAGAAGTATCATCAAACGAGACAAGGGTTTTATAGAAATATTGACGGATTTATAGAAACATTCCACGGGGATGTGTTGAATAGTGATGACAAAAGAGACGCAGCAGTGGATAAAAGGGACACCCAGGTTCAGTCAGGTGGTGGAGGAGAGAGAGACGACAAGGATGGAGCCGATGTCAGCCTCACGAAGGAACTAACCACACCGGTTATAACAAAAGAACCCCCAGCAACAGTTGCAGCAAGGCTCACGATCTAGATTCAATGGCGTCCAATGTGAATCTTACGGAGATGTGTTTGTTTCATGATGTTCAGCCACACCCCCACCACCAGCAGGGTTTGGTCAATGACCTGTCAAGGGATTCATTTTGATTTGTTCTTTTGTCCTGTTGGATAAACTGTTGCACAAGCTTTCCATTCATATCAAGTTGACGTACCACGTGGAAAAGGTTACCTGTGAAGAACTTTGGGGTTAGTTTATGGACACAAACATGGTATGCAATGGGGACGAGTTGTGTATCCTGCCTATCGTCAACAATGGTTTTGATTCAATTATAGAAAAGATTTATTCATGTGTCCGTGTATTGAGAACAAAGTTTGTATCGACAACAAATGCACAAAGCAAACATAAGCCTGCATCACTTCCAACATGCATACCAGAACAATGACATCTAGATATAGGGATAGTTGAATTATGTTGGAAATCAAAGCTCAAGGCAATCTAATGCCACTACATTCCCTCTGTGTGATATATTATTTATCACCCAAAACTAGCTCCCACTGGAGATATCGCTTTGGTGAGATCAAGCGATATCTTGTGAGGCTTGCCGAGGAGTTTTCCACTTTTATCAACTCGTGTTGATATATCTGATATCAAAAGACACAAGGGTGAGATTTTATTTATCATACATCATTCTTCCAACTTTTTCAGTTTGTAGACAGTAATAATCAGTGTTTTAAGTAAAAAAAAGTACTGCTAACAGCTTCAGTAGCAGAGCCATTAGTGATGTCATTTGATTGTGACATCATGGTAAAATGACGTCACAATGGTCTGCAAAGCATTGTGATGCAATTTCAATGTAGACATCGCTTGATCTCACTCAAGCGATATCTCCTGTGGGAGCCAGTTTTGGATGATAAATAAATCTCACCCTCGTGTCTTTTGATATCAAATATATATGATATCAAATACATCAACACGAGTTAATAAAAGTGAAAAAAATGTTCTTTCCACATTTATCAAGGAGTGTTGATATATTTGATATCAAAAGACACGAGGGTGAGATTCTCTATATCTTAGTTCGATGAAATATCAAGTTTTACGTTGAACTGACTGCAGTAAATTTATTTGCCGACGCGCCTTAACACCCGTGAGGACTCTGGGTAATAATGTAGCTCCCCAGCAACCCATGCTTGTAAGAGGCGATTAAATGGGTCGGGTGGTCAGCCTCGGCGACATGATTGCCTGAATGTCATCGTGTCCCAACTGCGTGGAGCAATGCTCATGATGCCCATCGATGGATTATCTGGTCCAGACTCGATTATGTACAAACATCCGTGATGGAGCTGGGGTATTGCTGTGTGCCCCTTTAAACACAACACAAACAGCTACTGTGCTGGTGAGTCAGGATCACTTCATGAGTGCCCATCGAACGTGCTAGTTTGAAAGAGGACAAAGAAGATAACAGTACTTTGAAGAACAAGACATGATCATGGAGAATTAGTGCCAGTTTTTGTCTACATCACGTGAAAAATTCCATCACTGTAGTTCACCTAGCGGCGACAGTAGACAACTACAGCATGTGCAGTAGTCCCATGATGGTGTGGGATCAGATGTTGAGTTTTGTAGGTCATCCCACCTGGATTTCATACATGATTTCATACATGATAGGCGATATAATTCAGTTGGTGTTTCCACCATGTTCAACTTCGGTAATTTATTAGAAACACTTTAGATTTTCAAGGAGAAAAGCGAGCGGAATATTATTTAGTTCCTTTGAGATCCTTCATGGTTAATTGTACTCACATCTGCTCATCTATTCTGCATAAGGCCACACACCATACGGCGTGTCAGTATTAGTCTTTATTGATTTTGTATATGTGGAATTTCAAATTCACAATTGATAGCTTGCTTCTGTCATTTTTTTCCAGTAGATTAAACTGCAGGCGATTCTAAATTAAACTAAACTTACATCTGTCCAGACCGAGAACATTAATTTTTCTACGAAACGCATATGTAGCTGGTAATACATTTCTGTGTCTATGCAAATGCATTATTGATACAATTTTGTGACAAGGAATAAACCTACTGTATACGGTGTCCATTCTTGATTACGTTTTTATCCACGGTTGTGAGGCTGTGCTCCTTGTCGTTGGAAGAAAACAACCTTTTGCTGATAGATGAGGTCTACAAAAAGCAAGAACCCACAGTATGAACAAGAGAGTAGAGTTCCACTCATTCAGAAACAGACCGCATGTTCTTGAATTTGAAACTACAAAGCAATGCAAGTGGGCTCAAGTAACATTCTGAAACAAAAAATAGTTTTCTTAATGTCCCACAATCTTGCAAACTTCTGGAACCACCAACAGCTCTCATATCGATGAACTGATATCGTTCAATAATGGGCTAATAGCCAATTGGTTGACACATATACAACTAGAAATGAATTAAACACCCCCTGGTTTAGCGAGTGTAACCGCCCTGAGCCTGAATGACGAATTCTACTCCTCCTCATTCCTCCAGTGAGTCTTCAGATACGACAAAGAGGTACCTGCTGCCACCCTAGACGCAATGGTTGCCACATTCTGTTCTGGTGGATCCTTTGCCTGCAACCGACGTCCAAGATGTACGTCCAATGGATTCAAATGTGGACTCGTAGCGGGCCAAAGCAAAATTCAGTAGCGTGAAATGCAGCCACAGCACGAGAACGATGGGGTCTTGCGCTGTTGTCTATAAACACAGGTCGCGTATTAACAAATCCATTTGGATGGAAGTGTCTCATAACAGTAGCTTATTGCGTAGTACCTCGTGGGTAATAAAGACTCACGACCTTGCAATAACGCCAAGCACTACAGTGCCGTGTTCACTTGTAGATCAGTTTACGGAATTTCCAGTGGTCTCACCAGGCAACAAAGGAAAGTGTTCGCTGATCTTAAACAGTGCAACCAGCGTGCCGGCTGTAGGAATTGCGAGGTGTGGTAGTAGATTGGGATGTACCCGACACCTGGAAACCACCAATAGTGAACCCGCATCTCACACCGGTGAATCAGATACAGCCAAGCCGAGTAAAGGGTCACACCGACAGCATGGAAGATGAAATGGTAAATAGGGCCGTGGCCGTACCCGACAATATAGCCATTCGGAACAATCTGTGAATGACATCTTTTTTTGAACATTGTAGGTTTCTGAATAGGATCTTTCGTTAAGCTGTTTCACATTGCTACTCTCGCCCAAACATGGGTTTGTGACTTTCTACCAGGCTACAGATATATTAATGTAAATACTATAAAATATTCTGCAAAAGGGGGACCTTTTGATGCTGTAGGTCTATTAAACATTATTTTCTTTAATGACGTAGGAGGGCTGTCGGGTAGCCTAGTGGTTAAAGTGTTCGCTCGTCACGCCGAAGACCCGGGTTCGATTCCCGACATGGGTACAATGTGTGAAGCCCGTTTCAGGTGTTCCCCGCCGTGTTATTGCTGGAATATTGCTAAAAGCGGCGTAAAACCATACTCACTCACTCACTTTAATGACGTAGGGAACCAACACGTGTTATATTTAAAAGTACTTTGGAAGAAGACGTGTGATAGGTCGTCATTGCGGTTTCAGAATACTTCATGCTTTTACAACACACGTGAAAATAGCACACGTGTTTTCATGGAATGCAAATTTAACTTTCACCACCAGATGTTCACACACAAAGAGACACATTAGCTGTTTACCTGCTCCAGACTGTAAACAAGGGAGGTCACTCTGACTACCATACGTTCACCTACAGTGAGATATCGAAAACACATGCAAGAAACAACAGACCAGATCAGCTGAGAGAATATCTGCATGACTACACCTCCAACCGATATCGATTGTTGCTGCGTTCAGGTTAGTTTAATGTAAGACATTACAAATGGCCAATGTCATCCTTCGGATTTAGTTTTTGAACAGAGAATACATCGATTGTGAGACCAAAGAGAGATTTGTAAAGCTATCAGGTTGTATATGTGAGATAGGCACCGTGATATCAGATTGTGAGTGAAACATACATCAGGTCTTACTGTGTGCAGTCAAACATTCGTGAAACATACATTAGGCCTTACTGTGTGCAGTCAAACATTCGTGAAACATACATCAGGTCTTACTGTGTGCAGTCAAACATTCGTGAAACATACAACAGGTCTTAATGTGTGCAGTCAAACATCCGTGAAACATACATCAGGTCTTACTGTGTGCAGTCAAACATTCGTGAAACATACATCAGGTCTTACTGTGTGCAGTCAAACATTCGTGAAACATACATCAGGTGTTACTGTGTGCAGTGAAACATTCGTGGAACATACATCAGATCTTACTGGGTGTTGTCAAACACTGGTGAAACATATAACATGTCTTAATGTGTGTAGTCAAACATCCGTGAAACATACATCAGGCCTTACAGTGTGTAGTCAAACACTCGTGAAACATACACCAGGTCTTAATGTGTGTATTCAAACACTCGTGAAACATACAACAGGTCTTACTAGGTGTAGTCAAACATTCGTGAAACATACATCAGGTGTTACTGTGTGTAGTCAAACATTCGTGAAACATACATCAGGTGTTACTGTGTGCAGTCAAACATTCGTAAAACATACATCAGGTGTTACTGTGTGCAGTCAAACATTCGTGAAACATACATCAGATCTTACTGGGTGTTGTCAAACACTATTGAAACATATAACATGTCTTACTGGGTGTTGTCAAACACTGGTGAAACATATAACATGTCTTACTGTGTGTTGTCAAACATCCGTGAAACATACACCAGGTCTTACTGTGTGTAGTCAAACACTCGTGAAACATACACCAGGTCTTACTGTGTGTATTCAAACACTCGTGAAACATACAACAGGTCTTACTGGGTGTAGTCAAACATTCGTGAAACATACATCAGGTCTTACTGGGTGTTGTCAAACACTCGTGAAACATACATCAGGTCTTACTGTGTGCTGTCAAACATTCGTGAAACATACATCAGGTGTTACTGTGTGCAGTCAAACATTCGTGAAACATACATCAGATCTTACTGGGTGTTGTCAAACACTATGGAAACATATAACATGTCTTACTGGGTGTTGTCAAACACTCGTGAAACATACATCAGATCTTACTGTGTGCAGTCAAACATTCGTGAAACATACATCAGGTGTTACTGTGTGTAGTCAAACATTCGCGAAACATACATCAGGTCTAACTGTGTGTTGTCAAACACTGGTGAAACATATAACACGTCTTACTGTGTGTAGTCAAACATCCGTGAAACATACATCAGTTGTTACTGT